GGGTAGAGAGAGAGGGGGTGAGTGTTGGGGAGAGAGAGACACTGCGAGAAGGGCTGGGGGGGGTAGAGAGAGAGAGGGGGTAGAGAGAGAGAGGGGGTAGAGAGAGAGAGGGGGTAGAGAGAGAGAGGGGGTAGAGAGAGAGGGGGTAGAGAGAGAGATGGGGTAGAGAGAGAGAGAGAGGGGGTAGAGAGAGAGAGGGGGTAGAGAGAGAGAGGGTAGAGAGAGAGAGGGGGTAGAGAGAGGGGGTAGAGAGAGGGGGTGAGTGTTGGGGAGAGAGAGACACTGCGAGAAGGGCTGGGGGGGTAGAGAGAGAGGGGGTAGAGAGAGAGAGGGGGTAGAGAGAGAGGGGGTAGAGAGAGAGGGGGTAGAGAGAGGGGGTAGAGAGAGAGAGGGGGTAGAGAGAGAGAGGGGGTAGAGAGAGAGAGGGGGTAGAGAGAGGGGGGTAGAGAGAGGGGGTAGAGAGAGAGGGGGGGTAGAGAGAGAGGGGGGTAGAGAGACGGGGTAGAGAGAGAGGGGGGGGTAGAGAGAGGGGTAAGAGAGAGGGGGTAGAGAGAGAGGGGGGTAGAGAGAGGGGGTAGAGAGAGGGGGGGTAGAGAGAGGGGGTAGAGAGAGAGAGAGGGGGTAGAGAGAGAGGGGGGGGTAGAGAGAGGGGGTAGAGAGAGGGGGGTAGAGAGAGGGGGTAGAGAGAGAGAGGGGGGTAGAGAGAGAGAGGGGGTAGAGAGAGAGGGTAGAGAGAGAGGGGGTAGAGAGAGGGGGTAGAGAGAGAGAGAGAGGGGGTAGAGAGAGGGGGTAGAGAGAGGGGGTAGAGAGAGAGGGGGGGTAGAGAGAGGGGGGGTAGAGAGAGGGGGGGTAGAGAGAGGGGGGGGTAGAGAGAGGGGGTAGAGAGAGAGGGGGGGTAGAAAGAGGGGGGGGGTAGAGAGAGGGGGGGTAGAGAGAGGGGGGGGGGTAGAGAGAGGGGGTAGAGAGAGAGAGGGGGGGTAGAGAGAGGGGGTAGAGAGAGAGAGGGGGTAGAGAGAGAGGGGGGGTAGAGAGAGAGGGGGGGTAGAGAGAGGGAAGGGGTAAGTTGGAGGAGAGCAGAGCGTGGAATCTTTCATTTAAAGGGGGGGGGGGGGGTTACATAAAGCAAAGCATTAAAAACAACGAAATGATGAATGAAGCAAAGTGCCGACTACACCGAGAATCTTCTTCTTGTTTCCTCTGATCGTAAAAGAGAGAGTGGTAGAGAGTAGGAGAGTGGGAGAGATGAGGGAGAGAGTGGGAGAGAGTGGGAGAGAGAGTGAGAGAGTGAGAGAGTGGGAGAGTGGGAGAGAGTGGGAGACAGTGGGAGAGAGAGAGAGTTGGAGAGTGGGAGAGAGTGGGAGAGAGAGAGTGGGAGAGAGTGGGAGAGAGAGTGGGAGAGAGTGGGAGAGAGTGGGGGAGAGAGTGGGAGAGTGGGAGAGAGTGGGAGAGTGGGAGAGAGTGGGAGAGTAGGAGAGAGTGGGAGAGTGGGAGAGAGTGGGAGAGAGTGGGAGAGAGAGTGGGAGAGAGTGGTAGAGAGTGGGAGAGAGTGAGAGAGAGTGGGAGAGAGTGGGAGAGAGTGGGAGAGTGGGAGAGAGTGGGAGAGTAGGAGAGAGTGGGAGAGAGAGTGGGAGAGTGGGAGAGAGTGAGAGTGGGAGAGTGGGAGAGAGAGTGGGAGAGATGAGGGAGAGAGTGGTAGAGAGTGGGAGAGAGTGGGAGAGAGAGTGGGAGAGAGAGTGGGAGAGAGTGGGAGAGAGAGTGGGAGAGAGTGGGAGAGAGAGTGGGAGAGAGTGGGAGAGAGAGAGAGTGGGAGAGAGTGGGAGAGATGAGGGAGAGAGTGGGAGAGAGTGGGAGAGAGAGTGGGAGAGAGAGTGGGAGAGAGTGGGAGAGAGTGAGAGAGTGGGAGAGAGTGAGAAAGTGAGAGAGTGGGAGAGAGTGGGAGAGAGTGGGAGAGAGGGAGAGAGTGGGAGAGAGGGAGAGAGTGGGAGAGAGTGGGAGAGAGAGTGGGAGAGAGTGGGAGAGATGAGGGAGAGAGTGAGAAATGAGGGAGAGAGTGAGAGAGAGTGGGAGAGATGAGGGAGAGAGTGGGAGAGATGAGGGAGAGAGTGAGAGAGAGTGGGAGAGAGTGGGAGAGAGAGTGGGAGAGATGCGCTCATGCACTGTATGCGACGTGGGGAGAGAGAGAAGCAATGAATGAAAAAAATCCGGCGTGAGTTATGGATTTGTGTGTCGGTGCACACGTGAATGAGCGAGTGGGAGTGCGAGTGACTGAGTGAGAGAGTAAATGAGCGAGTGGGTGAATGCGTGAATGAGCGAGGGAATGGGGGAGTGAATTAACGAGTGAATGTGTGATCGCGTGTGTGTGAGCGGGTGAGTGTGTGAGTGAGTGTGAGCAGGTGAGTGTGTGAGTGAGTGTGAGCAGGTGAGTGTGAGTGAGCGGGTGAGTGTGTGAGTGAGCGGGTGAGTGTGTGAGTGAGCGGGTGAGTGTGTGAGTGAGCAGGTGAGTGTGTGAGTGAGTAGATGAGTGTCTGAGTGAGCAGGTGAGTGTGTGAGTGAGCAGGTGTGTGAGTGAGCGGGTGAGTGGGTGAGTGTGTGAGTGAGCGGGTGAGTGTGTGAGTGAGCGGGTGAGTGTGTGAGTGTGTGAGTGAGCGGGTGAGTGTGTGAGTGAGCGGGTGAGTGTGTGAGTGAGCGGGTGAGTGTGTGAGTGAGCGGGTGAGTGTGTGAGTGAGCGGGTGAGTGAGTGGGTGAGTGTGCGAGTGTACCGGTGAGTGAGCGGGTGAGTGTGTGTGAGCAGGTGAGTGTGTGAGTGAGTGTGTGAGTGAGTGAGTGTGTGAGTGAGTGGGTGAGTGTGTGAGTGAGTGTGAGCGGGTGAGTGTGAGCGGGTGAGTGTGTGAGTGAGCGGGTGAGTGTGTGAGTGAGCGGGTGAGTGTGTGAGCAGGTGAGTGTGTGAGTGGGTGAGTGTGTGAGTGAGTGAGTGTGTGAGTGAGTGAGCATGTGAGTGAGTGTGAGCAGGTGAGTGTGTGAGTGAGCGGGTGAGTGTGTGAGTGAGCGGGTGAGTGTGTGAGCAGGTGAGTGTGTGAGTGAGTGGGTGAGTGTGTGAGTGAGTGTGTGAGTGAGTGAGCGTGTGAGTGAGTGTGAGCGGGTGAGTGTGTGAGTGAGCGGGTGAGTGTGTAAGTGAGCGGGTGGGTATGTGAGCAGGTGAGTGTGTGAGTGAGCGGGGGAGTGTGTGAGTGAGCGGGTGAGTGTGTGAGTGAGCGGGTGAGTGTGCGAGTGTACCGGTGAGTGAGCGGGTGAGTGTGTGTGAGCGGGTGAGTGTGTGAGTGAGCGGGTGAGTGTGCGAGTGTACCGGTGAGTGAGCGGGTGAGTGTGTGTGAGCGGGTGAGTGTGTGAGTGAGCGGGTGAGTGTGTGAGTGAGCGGGTGAGTGAGTGGGTGGTGAGTGATTGTACCCAACTGACCCACGTCTACCCTAATGACCCCACGTCCACCCCACGGACTCACGTCCCTCCACATGGCCTTGTGGAGGGATCAACAAGTGCCCGGCACGCCTTGCACCGCCACCGGCATTGCACACGATCCTTGCTGCACCTGAGACCGGCGCATCCCGTGGGCTGTGATGTAAATGTCGATGATTTTGATGACTGATTACGTTGACGGTGGCAACGGTATCCGGTGACAATTTCACGACGGTTATGGTAATGATGGCGGCGTCGATTATCTATTTTTTTACATATAACGGCGCGTTTTATATATTTATATATTGCAGTGTTTCTGTGCCGCTGATGATGTTTCCCACCGACTCTGTTGATGATGATGTCGGCGATGATGATGATGATGATGACGCTGTTGACACGTTCTCTCCCATCCCGCCGTTGTTCAGAGACCCCCGCGTGCTGCCTCGACTGAGTTGGGCGGACGACGAGGTCGCGGAGGCGAGGAGAGACGTCGAGGAGGACAGAGGGGAGGCCGGCGAAGAGGAGGAGGAAGAAGAAGAAGGAGCGAGACGACAGAAGGAGCACGTGGCTGGAGGCGGTGAGCAGAGGCGGGAGGAGCGGAGAGACTGGAGGAAGGAACGGAATGGAGTGAACGCAAAGACAGAGAAGCTAAGCAGTGGGGGGGGGGGGGGGGGACAAGTGGAGGAAGGGGCAATAGAAATCGGTTGAAAATAAAATTGTACAGGAGGACACGAAGGGAATATAAAAAAAGAGGGAGGCAATCATAAAGAGGGGAACAAACGGACAGAAAAAGAGGAGGAGGAGGGAGAAAACTAGAAGAACAAAACAAGGGGATAGAAGGGGAATAGGGAGGGGAGGATCAATAGAAGATCAGGAAGAGTGGGAAATAGAGAGACACACAGACACAAAGGGTCAACTCAAGAAGAGGAAAATAGGATAGGGAAGAGCGGTAAAAAGAGGAGTCAACAGCGAAGAGGAGAGAGAGGGAGAGGAACCAGAGCCATGTAACACCCGGGCATTGAGTGAGACGGTAGGAACGAGGGTGGCAAGAGAAAAGACGCGAGAGGGCACGCAAGCGAGGGAGAGAGACAACGAGAGAGAGGGGAGAGAGAGAGAGAGATCACGGAAAGTGAGAGGCCGAGTAAAATCAAACTAGGGAAGGAATCAAGAGTGGGGAAGAGCAAAATAGAGAAAGGAAGAAAACAGAGAGTGAGAAACGCGAATTCAGCAGAAGCGGAGGGAGGAGACTCTGCAGAGGAGGAGGTAGACAAGACGACCAGGGGGAGGAAGAAGAGCAATAGGTGAAAGAAGAGCAGGCAAGGAGGAAGGAATGGACACAAAGGAGTAGAAGATGGTGGAGTAGAGGAGGGAGGAAAACACGAGAAAGAAGAAATGCAGAGGGAGTGAGAGAGCGAACGAGAGCCAGGCGACAAAGATCAGGGAGACAACCACAAAGAGCAGGGAGAGAGGGATCACAAGAGAAGAGAGGACGTGTTGAGGCGTAGGAGGAGGGGTGGGGGGAGGGAGGAGGAGGGACGAGGAGAGAGGAGGAGTAGAAGGAGGGAGGAGGAGTAGGCGGAGGTGCGGCGTCCGTTAGCACAGCGCGAGGGGGGTGGGGGTGGTGGTGGTGCCGTGCGTGGCGGAGCGGGGATGGGCGTGGGCCCGTGGGTCCGCGTGGCCGTGGGCCTCCTCGCCGTGGGGGTGTGCGCGGCCGGCGTCCCGCGCGCCCGGGACCCGGGCCGCCGCCGCACCTTCTACAGCGACGACGACGACGACGGCGACGACGGCGGCGGCATCGGCGGAGGCATCGGCAGCATCGTCGACGAGGAGCTCAACTACAATGTGCAGCGCATCAACGAGGAGAAGACGAGGCACGGCCAGGGGGGAAACTTCGGCGACGACTTTGGGCTCCCGAAGAAGGGCGGCGGCGGCGGCGGCATCTTCGGCGGTGACGATGACGACGAAGACGACGACGATGACGACAATGATGAAGGTGACGACGACGGCAAGGGAGGCGGCGGGAAGGTCGGCGGCGGTGGACGCCGTCGCCTGAACGAGCCGAATCGCCCCGTCGTGGCCACCAACTACGGCAAGCTGCGGGGAATCCGTGTCTCCCTGCCCTCGCCCGACGCGGTGCTGCGCTCCGACGGGAGAGGTGAGGGTCCATCCCAGGCTGCAGGGGGTCGGACGGGTCAGACGGGGGGCGGGGGGGCAGCATAGTTTGACTTCTATAATTGGAAACTACTGGAAATAAATAATAAAGGTGTCCAAACTCCGCAAAGAGGGGGGCAGCCGGGCAAAGGGCAGGCACCCAGGCACCCAGGCATTTAGGCAGTCAGTCAGGCAGCCGTAATAAAAGTCAGCGAGTCAGTTGAGTAGCTAGTTCAGCAGCCAATTGGGCACTCAGGTGAGTCAGTCAGTCAAGCAGGTGGACAGTCGAGAAACCGTTTTTATTCAGGGTAGACGATTCGGCAAAGGGAAGACAGTAAGTTAAGCAGTAAGTCACGTGATGCGGTTGTCAAACGGGTGGAGAAACAGGCAGGCAGGTATTTAGTTGGGTAAGTGAACAATCAGTGTATAAGATAGTCGGGCGGTAAGACTATTTGTCACTCATTGTGATTTCCAACAAAGTGGTACGCATTTTTTCCCAATGAAACCTGGCAGAATGACGATGATTGTATGATGGTCCGAATCGACGCGCTGACAGAAATGCATCCTCCCAACTCCGGACATCCTCGCAGCGGCGGCTTTTGGCTGGCCATCGAACAAAGACGGTCACCGCATCATCGCGCACTTTCAGATGCACTCTTGCGGCCGTCTGGAACGCTCTTCCTTCTGATATTAGGAAACCACTGGGAGCTATGCAATTTTAAATCATCATCGAGATTGAAAACTAATTTCTTTCGAACTGCTTTTTGTGTTTTGTTTGTTATTGTTCCCCCACACCTCTGAATAGCACGGTTGGCTACGTACGGTGCAAAATAAGGACACACTCACAACCCCATACGACCGTGGCCAAGTGCTCTGATAGCCGTTGTGCGGAGTGGCCGGTCAGTGAGGCAGTCGATACATTCGGACAATCGGTGGTTTAATTATTCGTGCAGACATGGAAACTGGTACTCAGCAAATCAATTTACCTGACCAGTCGAGCAATTAATAATTTATCCAATCGAGTGGTAACCTAATCAGCCAGTTAATCAATGGTTGGGTCAGGTGATACGCTCATTAGTCAATCAAGCAGGACGGCTAGATAACCAGTAAGATAGTTGTTAAAGTCAGTCACTTATCCAGGTAGATTAAAATAACTTTGACAGTTCCTTAGTCAGGCTATTGTTCACTCTGTCAGTTGGTGAGGCAAGTTAGCTGTGGCCAAATGATTGGTCAGTTGGTCGATTGTGCAGTCAGTAAAGTTATTCGATGCTCATGCTGAAACAGTACCGTTTTTTCCTATCATTCAAATGTTCGCAACCTCCGATTAGCACGTTTGGCTATGTATGGTCATGACACATGGGTATTAACATCGTTGGCAGTGATGACCTCTTGACCCTGAAGGCTTTTCACTTGCCTCATCGATTGTCGGGGTGGGCTCTCAAAATTGAGGTTAAATTAAGTTGCGTGGATCGCTATGGATGTCCTGTAGAGGAATAGAACACGACGCCATGTTGTTATGGAAATTAGGACGCCATTTTACCTGCTGGTCCAGTACTGTACACTATTACCAACCTATTACAATATTCATATTTCATTGTAACCTACGGTATATTAAAATGTGTAAAATACAGTACTTTATTGCAAATAATTAATGGCATTCATCAATCCACTCGTGAATGAGGGCCTTGTTATGTCATATGTCGATCGTTTAACCATATTTCGCCACGTGGGTCAATGTGGGATGAGATTTATCACTTCACACCAATTTTAGCAGCCTCCGGGATTCCAACTTGGGTAACTGGGCGTTAGAAGCAGCGTGTCACCACTCCCCCTTCGATATAATTAAATGGGTGTGCGGAGGGACAGTGCATGTGTGTCTGCATACATTCGTGTGCATGAACAACCTGCTTGTCAATTCGCTGCTGGATCTAAGGGCCTCGGAGGTTATTCGATCTTGCTTCACCACGCTGGTTCAGTGCGAGGGGGTGAAGGTTTGGAGGAGCATGTGGACCTGGGACCAGTATGGTTGCAAACCTCTGAGGTACAAAAATTCTGGGGCTAGCCGTCGGACAAAGACTAGAACGCTCTTCCTTCCAACATTAAGAAGCCACCGGAGCTATGCACTTTAAAATCGTCTAGATTGAACACTAATTTATTTAGAACTGATTGTTGTGTTTTGTTTGTTATCCTTGCGTATGGTGCGAAAGGAGTTGAACATATATACAAGAAATATCTCACATTACCAGAAGATTAGTTTTGTATTTTACTTTGATTTGTTACACGGATGATGATCCCGTTTATCCAGTTGCCCTGGCTATTTTATAAAGGGAGATCCGACGCGAGCATAGCAACAAGAAAATAAGTCAATATTGCAGAAAAAAAGTACAGGATTTATGGGGAGACCTTCACGTAAATGCATTGTCCCGAGTGGTGTGCCATCGTGCAACTGACAAAAAAACTGGGACTTTGAATGTATTACAGATTTCCCACAGACAGCTCCTGCTGCATTCAAAAGGAGGACGATCCAGGGGGAAAATAACGTGACGGGGATGTGATGTGCAACTTTGTAACCAAACAGAATTGATCGATCAATCTGTATCAACAACTTTGCAGTGTTAAAACACGTATGTATGTGTACATATGTATGCTGAACTTCTTTCGCACCGTACGTAGCCAACTACACTAATCGGAAGTGTGTATGCATGTTGAACTTCTTTTGCACCGTACGTAGCCAACCATTCTAATCGGAGGTGTGTAGCCAACCGTGCTAAACGTGGGTTATCGTGCAGCATCGCGGTAATTAAACAAAAAAATGCGCGTAAAGAACATTGCATAGGTTTAATTTGATTTGTGCTTCACACTGAATAATGAAGGCATTCCCCCGGGGTGAAACGGCCACCGAATGGACACACTTCGTACTGCCAGGGGTTTATGTGGGATGTGATCCGGCCCGTGTCTTTAGCAAGGGGTTTCCAATGAGTGTAAACGCGCGATAGAAAAAAATACCCCTCAAATGTTTAAAAATGTCGATTGTGCTATCGGCATGTATGGCCTCTTGGAGCCACCCGGTCACCTTACATCGGAGGCGTTCAACACATCAATTCGGTAGACAGCATTGCGGCAGCGAACGAGGGAGTCCAGTTCGTGGCCGCCGTGCGACGCGTCATCTGAGCACCGTGCAACATGTCGTGAACGACCACCCGATCATCATCGCTCGACAGCGATCCGAAACGAATCTGTTGCAGTCTGCCCCGCCGCCCCCCCCCCCCCCCCAAAAAAATGCCACACAAAAGAAGAAGAGTGAACGATGGCACGGCCCTGTTTGTTATACCGGGGGGGAGGGGTGGTTCCTCCCCCCCTTCAGATTTGTGCTACTAGGTGGCAGATGCATCATGTGATCAATGATGGCCCTGGTGGCCCCCTTTGCACCATCGCACATTCCAAAAGACACGAGCCCATGTGCTTCTTTCTCTCCCCTTTGTCGCCTTCCGCAAATAAGTTAAGGCGGGTGAAAACGTACCGACGAATCAGGCCGCGGCACGGTGACAGGCGTGTGTGTACGACACTTTGGTCTTTCGCGACCAATGTTATTCATAATAATGTTTTTTTCTGGGTGTGATCGCGTAAGTTTAAATGTGCAAAATAGCCCGATGATGCTGGATGTAATTACTGGCGAAATGTCACAGTACTCAAATTGTGAATGTTGTAGATTTACTCTCCAACACACAACCGGTGGGCTGACGTAGTAAACCTATTGTAACCTTTTGTTTACATGACAAAACCTTACTTTTTGGCAGTGTCAGGTAGCAGCGGGTTAAGGACACATGTATACTTATGCGCTCTAACCCCCCCCCCCCCAAAAAAAAAACCCTTTATAACGAGGTGTGTACACGAATGTGCGTGCGACGTTTGTGAATGGGTGGAACGGCCGTACACGGCACGCGGGGCGAGACCTTGGAAAGGCGGTGGCAAGCAGAAGCTCCCGGGCCGGACTGACACTTTCAACCCTGGCCAAGGTCGCACTGGTGTTGAGAGATTTACTTTTGGATGACGGGCGAGCAGGAATAGAGCGGATATTGGCGGTCACGGAAATATACGTGCGGGGATAGAGTTCATCGAGTAAACCGTGACAAGTTGAATTTCCCCCTTTCCCGACTGCCCACTGCCCGCCCACCCCGCCTTGGGTGCCAAAAAACGTTAACGCGATACCATAGGTCAAACGTGGGGGGGGGTTCGCGTTTGCCGTGCCTTATTGCAGAGATTAAAAGGGTCACATCTGCCGTGGCTTGTCGGTAAAAATTGCCCCGTGAAGGTGATGCATTTTTCGTCCCGTGTCATCACTGCCAATGAACCTTTGGAGACAATCGTCGTCTGCCTGGAGATAGATGGTTACCAGTGCTAGACAGCTGAATTGAAGCACGCAGTCTTGATTTGAAGCTTTCGTAACTGCAGGAATCCATACTCTTTGATTCTTTCGGTAAAGTCACGTGGGTATAAAATAAAGTGAATCACGGCGTTTCGGGTGCAACACAAGCGTCCATCATCACACGCTTTCCCACCTGATGACGGACGCTTGTGTTGCGCCCGAAACGCCGTGATTTATTTTATTTTATACCTACGTGACTTTACCGAAAGAACCAAAGAGTATGGAGCACGCAGGTTCACCAGTGAAGAAAAACAACTTTCTGCCGACAGGTATTAATGGCGGACGTTTTTGAGTGCAGTTTGAGTTTTGGTTTATTTTACTTGTTACGTGGATGATTCCGCTTAGTCAGTTTCCCAGGCTATTTTTCTAGGGAGATCTGCGGTGTTTTGAGCACAGCATGCAGGGTCCGATAATAGACAAACAGTTAAATGCGTTTGTTCTGTGGTGTCACGTAACCCGTTCCAAGTTAGACGCCTAAATTGTAATAATTTCCCGTTTATGCCTACACGAGATCAAAGCTCGGCTTAGAACGTTTCTCCTGGAATTGATTTTCCTCGTCATCGAACAAAGACGGTCACCGCATCGTGCGCTTTCAGATGCGCTTGTGTCGGCCATCTGGAATGCTCTTCCTTTCGATATTAGGAAGCCACTTGACCTAGGCACTTTAAAATCATCCAGATAGAAAACTCATTTATTCATAGCTGCTTTAAAGTTAGTTTGTCCTTCCTGCGCCCCTCAAATTAGCACGGTTGGCTATGTACGGTGTGAAAGAAGGTCAACATACGTAACATACATACCAATTAGCACATATATAAACATGCATGGAGATTATTTATATTATTTTGCTGCTATAAATTTCCACATGATATAAGCCACTTTGTTGAGCTATCATTTGTGGTAGCCAGGTCACTTCTGAAAAATAAGTTAATACCTCAGTGGGCTTTGCCTGGTAGGATGGGGGATGGTTTAGTTTCATTTGTATGTGTTTGGGGTGATTCGTTTGCCTTTCTTGGAATTTTCACTCCTATCGTGTTTTTGTATTGCTTGTTGTTGCAACATTCTTACCCGGTCCTCCTACTGGACACGTGTGAAAAAGTGCCTTTATAGCTCACCGGATTCCTCCAGTATAAACAAATATTCAGATTCTGATGATAGGCATGAGGAGGTGGGGGGGGGGGGTCGGCAAAAAGAACTTGGAAGATGGCGACGAGTGTGTGACCTTACCTCATCGACGGCGTTCTCACTCTCGTTGCGATTTCACGGCCGACTGTCTCTCGTGCCAGGTGCAGAGGGACCTGGAGCTGGCCCTGCGGGGACGCCCGGCGGAGGCCCTGGCGGTGGAGGCCCCGGCGGCGGCGGCGGCGGCGCCCCCCTGGTCGTGACGCAGTTCCTGGGGGTGCCGTACGCCCGCGCCCCCCGCGGCGAGCGCCGCTTCTCGGCGGCGGAGCCCCCCGCCGTGTGGAGCGGGGAGAGGGAGGCGGCGACGCGGGGCCCCCCCTGCCCACAGCCGGTGCCCAACCACAGGGGTGCGTTGCGGGGCCCCGGTGACTGATCGGGATAAAAAATATATATCAAATAAATAAAATAAAGAATTATAATAATCAAAATCGGTGCAGGTATTTATGAACCCACCAGCCCAATTTCGGGCCATAGGCAATTTTCTTTTTGAAATGGTTGTGCGATGACAAACGGTGTAAACCAGTGGCAAGACTTGCGATGTGACGACGTGTTTGCGTGGTTTTGCTGTCACGATCTCTCATTGGCCCCAATTGGTTGCTGGGTCCCGAAGGAAACAAATGGGCCGGTGAAGAAAAATCTCTGGGGCTGCCGAATATGTGGGAACTTTGATGCCAACCGAGAGCGTAAATAAGGGATGAAGTGTACACGTAAGAGGTAATAAAATATTTTTAAAAAATATAAAATTACTTAAAAAATCAACTATTTTTATTTTAACAGGTAAAGCCGGCTGAGCTTCTTTTCAGAAGCGAGCTGGCAATCACAGATGCAAGCTCAACGACGTAGCCATCATTGTGTGGAAATTTATAGCAGCCAAATACTCTAAACGCACGATGTTGATTCTAAACTTGGAGGGAAAAACCGGAGGACCCGGAGAGCAAAAAAAATCCATGCGACTATGGTGTGAGAGAACCAGATTTGCAAACTCCGAATATAGAGGCGTCAGGATCGGGATCGAACCCACGACTTCCTGCATACCAGGCGAGGGTCAGTGATGTCAGCATCTTGGTTCGTATAGATATGTATCGATATTCTGTGCATGACCTGCGATGTGACACTGATGTCCTTCGCGGTCGATGTACTCGGTAAATACGAAGCGTACGCCGTTGGAGTGACCGTCTCATTGACCGTACATTTTGGCCCAGCAAGTTTGTCGTCACCCAAGGTTGACAACCTCCGAGCGACAAGAAAACCGGGATATGTGGGAAGTGGAATACCGTATCTCGATACCGGGAGAGGGGAGAACGATGCGTCAACGCATCACTTCGAGGGGTGTAGTATGACTCAACTGCGCGTATGAATGTTGAACTTCCATTGCAATGTACGTAGCCAACTGTGCTCATCAAAATGAGAACGATCCTGGGAAAACTATCCTAACCACCGCCGTCGTCCTCCTCCTCATTACAACCAACACCACTGGTTTCAGATGCCACTGGAGCTATGCGCTTTAAAATAATCTAGATTGACAAACTCATTTCCTTATAACTGCTTTTTTGTGTCTGCACCGTAATGCGTCTGCGTCTACGTGTCCACGTTCCTATGGCAGGGCCCGATTGGACTGGCTGGGGGATGCTGCCCGTGTGGGAGGCTGGCAACGAACGTCTGGCCACGTGGCTAAGCTCCAAGCAAAGCGAGGAATGCCTCAACCTGGATGTGTACATCCCGGGCCGCGATGGTGAGAGCACACACAGAGACAAAGATCCGCCAGTGTAGCCTCAAACATCACTGTTGGGGCAAGGGCTGTTAGCGAGCAGCACTGAATGAAGGCCTTTACTGTGGCACACGAGGGGGTGGGGTGGCCAGCACCTTTGTCTCCCCAGATGTTTACACGTCGCACCAGGTACTCATTTGACTCGATCTAGTGGAGGCACAGGACCAGTTTAGATCATTGTCACCGGTGTTGGCCATGAGCAGGAATCGAACTCAGGCCTCCGGGTTCGGAGCGCAGCGCGCTAACTGCTATGCTACCGTTCCACACACAGAAACATATGCGGACATACAAAGACAAACATCACCCATATAGCCTTCAACAGACTGTTGGGGCAATTGCTGTTAGCGAGGGATAGTGGGTGGCTTCGCATCACACTCGGCCGTGGTGTTTACATGTATACCGCACCAGGTACATAACTCCTGTGAGGCTGAATCGACCTATGGGAGGCCCAGGACCGGTTTACATAATCGTCACTTGTGCTGGCCGTGAGCGAGAATCAAACTAATGCCCACTTTATTGAGGGCGATATTGGCACATAAAATAAAGATTGATTGGTTGAACTCGAATCGTCGGGTTCACAGCACGGTGCGCTAACCACGGCACTTCCGCTCCCACCACATACGCACTATCCCGTGTGCACGCACAACAACAACAGTAACGTTCCGCTCACTCTTGAGAGAGAGAGGACGACTCAATGGTGCGAGGAACCACATACAAGTGGGAAGGCGGCAACGACGTAGTGAGCTGGCACCAAACAATTGCCCAAGCCCTGCGGTCCTCACCATAACATAATGATGAGGGTTGCCATGGTGACGAGATGTTAACTACCTCGCCTGGTATACAGGAGGTTGTGGGTTCGATCCTGACCCTGACGGCTGTATATTTGCATGTTCTCCCCGTAGTTGTGTGGGTTTTTCTCCTGGTGCGTTTAGAGTATTTGGCTGCTATGAAATTCCACATGCTTAGCCAATTGCGTTGAGCTATCATCTGTGGCCAGGTCGCTTCTGACAAAAAAGATATTGGCTCACTAACAGCACCTCCTGCATACCAGGCGAGGTACAAGCGGTGCCTCTTTGTCCGGGCTTGGTCTGTGGAGTAGGTGGCAATCCTATGTGCGACGCTAACATTGATGTTAACGTTGATGTTAACGTTGATGCTAAAGCTGATGCCAATAACGTCGGTGCCAATCACGCCGATGCTAACGCTGACGCTAACATAGACGCTAACGCCGATGCTCCTCACGTCGATGTCGTCGTTAGTCCCCGGTGAGAGGCCGCCCCTGGCCGTGATGGTGTTTCTCCACGGGGGCTCGTTCCTGGACGGAGCGGGTGGCCTCTACGACGGCAGCGCCCTCGCCGCGCACGGGGACGTGATCGTGGTGATCGTCACCTACCGCCTCGGCGTGCTCGGTACTCGCCACCTCATCATCGTCATCATCATTGCCATCCTCATCATTGTCATCATCATTGCCATCCTCATCATCGTCCTTATTGCCCTATCGCACCACCGCCTCCCCCCGACCAACACGGATGAGACAGAATATATACAAGATGGACGTTATGAAGGATTCTATAACAAAGAATGAGGGCGTGTGGTACAAATGAAACGGACAACAAAGCAACAGACGAGGCAGACGATACTAAACGCTGGCGGCACAAAACAACCCAAAGAAAAATCACTTTCTTGAATTGAATGTTGAACCCCGTACTGCGTGACCCCTCACTGAAGTCCAACTCCCGCCGGCCCGCAGGTTTCTTCAGCACGGGGGACTCGCTGGCACGCGGCAACTACGGCCTGCTGGACCAGGTGATGGCGCTGCGCTGGGTCCGAGAAAACGTCGGCCACTTTGGGGGTGACCAGGGGCGCGTGACGCTCGTGGGCGCCGGCACGGGGGCCGCGTGTGCCAGCCTCCTCGCGCTGTCGCACCACGCTGAGGGTACGGACACCGACACCGCGGGCAGCGTCGCCCCTCCACCCCCTCCATCCCACCGACAATTTCACCACCGGCGCTATCGCCACCTTGGTCAACACCGCCAGCGCCACCATCGTTCACTCAGCCACCACCGTCATCGCGGGCAGCGTCGCCATCACCCCCCCTACCCACCGACATCACCACCACCATAGCTATCGCCACCTCGGTCACCACCGCCAATTCAATGGGCGTTCTCTCAGCCGCCGCCGTCACCGCCAAAGTCGCTGCTGCAGCCAACACCAGCCACCCCTTTTTCACAGCCACCGCCACCATCACCACGGGTTTACAGTAGAAAGTGTTGCAGCAATGGTTACAGGTGACAGTTGGCGGTAACAGTTTGCTCCCAAAAATTTCCATCGTGCATTATGGTCTTTACTAATCAGATTCCAAGGACCTTCTAACCTGAGGGTGCCACAGTGGTGAGATGTTAACTATCTCATCTGGTATACACAGAAGACCGGTATGTTTGGAGTTTGCATGTCTCTCTCCCAGGGGTCGTGTGTATTTTTCTCCTTGTCCTCCGGTTTTCCCCTTGGTATTTAGAATCAGCACGCATTTAAAGTATTTGGCTGCTGCTATAAATTTCCACGTGACAAGCCACTTCGTTGAGCCATCATTTGTGATCAGGTCACGACTGAAAAAGAGCTGCATAGCTCAGTGGGCCTTACCTGGTAAAATAAAAAATTATAATTTTAGTTTTGTTTACTGGGTTCAAACATTCCTCATTTACACGACGTTAGCGGTTCTTCAAAACCATCCTGGGTTTAGGGCTATTCTCATCCCATCGCTCGACCCCACCCCTAGGCCTCTTCCAGCGCGTGATTGCTCAGAGCGGCACGGCCCTGTCCAGCTGGGCCCTCAACCATCGCCCTGAGCTGTCGGCGGCTGCCCTGGCGCGCTCCGTTGGCTGCCTGCGGCCCCTTCCGCCGCCCCCACGGCACCGCGGCTCTGCGCCCCACCGCCAGCAGCAGCAGCAGCAGCAGCAGCAGCAGCGGCAGCGGGACGTGACGGTGGTGGGCCCGGCTGCCATGGCGTGCCTGCGGCGCAAGTCAACGGAGGAGCTCGTCGAGGCGTCGGCCTCGCTCTCCGAGTTTTCTTTGTCGTCGTCGTCGTCGTCGCCGTCGTCGTCGTCCTCGCCGCCACCGCTTTCTCCGTTCTCGTTCTCGCCCTCGCACTTCCGCTCGGTGTTCGCGCCCACGGTGGACGGGGAGGTGATCCCGGACGACCCGCGCGCACTGCTCGAGCAGGGGGAGTTCCTCAACTACAACACGATGCTGGGCGTCGCGCAGGCCGAGGGCCTCCGCCTCGCCGAGGCCTTCCTGGAGCCCGACGAGCGGCCGGCCTTCAGCCTCGGCCTCAGCGGCGGCGGCGGTTTTGGCGGCGGCGGCGCCGAGACGCAGGGCGGCCTCGACGGGCGGAGCGCAACGGCCACAAAGCCCGGAGCGAAGGTAGCCGCGGTGGAGTCGCGGAGGCCTGCACTTCCGGGGGCTCCCCCCGCCATTGCCGAAGCCGCTCCGGCCGTCCTGGGCCCCTACGAGGACCGCAACCCGGCAGGAGGCGGCGCTTTCTCGGCGGCATTCTCGCGTGCCGTCGATGAGCTGGTGGACGGGCTGTATGCGGCGGAGGTCGTGGGCGACGGAGACGGTGGCGACGACGACGACGACGACAGCGACGACCAGGATTCGGAGCCGCCGGGGACGGAGGCGCTGCGCGAGACGGTGCGCTTCATGTACACGGACTGGGCTGACCGGGACAATGCGGAGATGCGGCGCAAGACCCTGCTGGCGCTCCTCACGGACCATCAGTGGGTGGCGCCGGCGGTGGCCACGGCCGACCTGCGCAGTCAGTTCGGCTCACCGACCTACTTCTACGCGCTCTACCAGCGGTGCGACGGGGAACCCACCCCGTCCGTCGGTGCCGGCGGCAGCAGCGGCAGCAGCGGCACGACCGGTGTGAAGGACAGAGGTGAGAGCAGTGCCGGTCAGTGATGGGCAATAAAAGGAAAAGCGTTGCGAACACTCGAGAGTCCGGGGATGTCACTCGAGTAGCAGTGGTACATTCGGGACATCGCAGTCAACGGTATGCCACTGCGGTGAAGCCAGTAGGGGCCCACACCTGACAGGCAATTGAAAGGTTTGTTTTGTGTCTCGCTCGCTCTCTCATCAACGAAGCCTAAGATGCATCTCCAGACTGCGAGGGGAACATTCGCCCTGAGCGCTTATCTGCAAAGCGCTATATTTAGGATTGTTTGTTTTGTGTTGTTATTATTAACGAGTTATTGACTCTGAATAAGAGTAATAAGATTAAATATTGAATTAGTATGGGGACTAGTAGAGTACTGTACGTGATGAAAGCTTTGATCCCGATGTGCGCTCAGCCGTGCGATTGCTCGTCACGGTTTGTTCGGCCATAGCGCTCATCAGCCTGTGTGTTTGCGCCCTCGTGGCAACTACCGTGTAAAAAGAGCTTCGTAGTTCATCAGATTCCTCCGGTGTTCATACACATTCTGATCCTGAACTGAGCTAGAGCTGGGGACACGATTGATCGGTCACGTTTGTTAATCGACTGCTGCCTTTGTGGTCGATTACATGGGGTACCTTTAAACGTGGCGGCCACCCTCCGGCTGGCACCCTGCCTCCCGAAGGCAGGAAACCCCCTAAAATGCCACGCCGAGCGTGACACGTGCTGACGATGCCGATTACGTCGCCACCAATGCCCCGCCCATCGCCTCCCGTCACGCGAGGTGATTTTTTCTTTCACTCAACTAATTGTTGATGAATCGAACCCATAGTCGGTGGAGTAATCGATCACTTCAATAAAGGGATAGTCCAACTCTAAACTGTAGCCTTCTTTCCTCGTGCCGATGAGCACAGTTGGCTACGTATGGCGTGAAAGAAGTTCAACGTACGGTACATCAACATACATGCCCTCCTTGCCGTCACTGCTTCTGTCCCCCGTCACCATTGGGTAAGGGGAGCGACTGCTGCCCCACCATACACCTCCATCCAATCGCAGCCGTTCACTTGGGTAGCACTTTACTCGCTCAGCGCCTCCCGTGGTCGTTGTCGTTCTCTCGCCGTCGATCAAAGGCGGGGGGGACTCGGTGGCCTCGAAGACTTTGACGGCAGCCGCGTCGGTGCCGTCGGCGCGGGCGGGAGCCGCGCCGGCGCCAGTGGCGCCGGCGGGGGGAGGAGCGGCGGCGGCGTCGTCGTCGAGGCCGGCCTGGGCGGACGCGGCGCACGGCGATGAGCTGCCCTACGTGCTGGGCGCCCCCTTCCTGCGCCCATCCTCGCGCTTCTCCCGCATGTTCGCGTGCAACTTCTCGCGGGGCGACGCGGCGCTCAGCGCCACCGTCATCGCCTACTGGAGCAACTTCGCCAAGAGCGGGTGAGCGGCGCCTCGCCGGCAGCTTCAGTTCCACTTGCAAATGAGCCCCGATGCTAACCCCAGCCACAATAGCTCTAGCACGCGGGTCAGCAACCTGAGGCTGTGCAGGACTGCTTCGTGACGTCATTCATTTAGGACCGCCGCCCTCGTGCTCACAGCGCTTTGTGGCCCTGGGAATACCGAATGGGGGGAAAAAGAAAAATTACTCTTCTTGTTATTTTGGTTGCCAATCCCTGCTCCAGCGCCAACCCTTGCCATATTGGCACTCCACCTGACAACCCGTGTCATTCTAGCGCTCGCCCTAGGCACACTTAAGTAGTAATGTCAAGTGGTCACGTGACCAGGCTTCATGCACCCTTGCAGCACTGCCGTGCATCGCACGCACCCGCACACAACCGTCTGATGTACCTGTATGTATGTATGTACGTTGAACTTCTTTCGCCCCGTACGTAGCCAGCTGTGCCAATTGGAGGTGCGGGGAAAGAACAACAAACGAAACACAACAATCAGTTCTAAAGAAATTAGTATTCAAAGAATAATTAAAAGTGCATAGCTTTCAGTGACTTCCTAATAGTGGAAGGAAGAGCGTTCCAGGCGGGCGCAGGAGCACATTTGAAAGCGCGCGATGCAGTCAGCGTCTTTGTTCGACGGTTAGCCAAAATGTCCGATGGTTAGCCAAAAATAATGGAAGTGCATTCACACATTAATGAATAAAAAATGTTTTTATAACGAGCACATTTTCACGAAGAGGACACTTTCAGAGACACTGTGCAGCCATGCTTGGGGTTCTGCCTCATACGACCGAAAATAACAGATGAGAGGCAGCCTTCATCTGCCTCTTAAAAGTGGTGCTGGATTGGACGCGGCTGCTGCTGTTGCTGTTGCTGCTGCTTTTGGGAATGCTCATCTGTGAATAGCACAGTTTTGGTTAGAGGGAGGGGGACAACGAGCGGGCTGAGGTCTGTAGTAGTGTCCAGGGCTTGACTGTGTTTTGAGGAGGAAGGCTGTGGAGAACAGTGACGAAGGGCGACCATCTTGAACTGAATCTGAAGACCAGTGTTCTTCACTAATTTTCAGAGGGAGGGGGGTGATGGCACTTTCGCTGAAAAGACATCGTCAGTGTGAGGGCCGCCCACACATTTGAAACCCATTGCTGGGTTTAACAGAATGATGGAGGTGCATCGGGGGGGGGGGGGGGGGCACTTTAGGCCACCAGGGTCCGCCAGTGGCCCGCAGGCCTTGCAATTGAGAACACTGCTATAGACTGACTGATGATGAGGGCAGCAAGTGCAAGGATTTGAGCGTGACTAATCGTTTTGCCTTTGAAGCTTTCCATCGAGGTCACACGCATGCACACATCACCATGGACAACTTTACTGCGCCACGCTGGCTGTTGTAAGAACAGCTTAACAGACCTTGACACCCAGATGCCTGCGTGCCCGATACTCTCCCTCCTAACGCAGCGACCCCAACCGCCCTGAGATCACGGATGATGACGATGACGACATCGATGGCGGCGGCGGCGGCGGTGGCGCCGGCGGCGAGGACGGCGCCGACGGCGGCGCCCGCTCCAGCATCTTCGTCGAGGTCCCTTGGCGCCGCTACAGCCCCCGTGAGCAGCACTACCTCCACCTGGGCCCACGGCCGCGCCTGCGTGAACACTACCGCGCCAACAAGGTCGCCTTCTGGCTCGAGCTGGTTGCCGCACCTGCAGTACATGGCCTCCTCCTCGTCCACCTCGTACGAGGGCCGCCACTTCACGGGTTTCGGTGCTACGCGGAGGCCGCCGGGGGCCGTTGGCCGCCGGGGCCCCTCGGGCACAGGCTACGGCACGACGAGGAGGCCCAAGGGGCCGGACCGCGCCAGCCGCAAGGACAAGGGAGGGGTCGACAACCCGGGCGGCGGTGGAGGCTCGACCCGGCGGCAGGAAGGCGGCACCGGCAGCGGGATCGAAGGCGGCAATGAGGCCGGGCGGGATGGCGACGCGAGCCAACGGCGGGACTACTCGACGGAGCTGAGCGTCACCATCGCGGTGGGTACGTCGATGCTGCTGCTGAACGTGCTGGCCTTTGCCGCGCTCTGCTACAAGCGCGAGAAGCGGCGGCGCGAGGAGGCGGGCCTCTACCCTTGCCGGCACCGGCCACCAGCGAGGGGGCAGCCTCGCGAGCAGCGTGAGCAGCGTGGGCAGCCACCGCACCCAGCAGCACAACCATCACGGCGGCGGCAGCAACCTACACCGCCACCACCGGCAGCCGCAGCACCAGCAGCAGATGATGGTGGACCCGCACCACCAGCACCTTCATCACCACCAGAGTGAGCAGCATCTGGGCGACGATCAGCACCATCTGCAGGAGCAGCAGCAGCAGCAGCAGCACCGGCGAGCGCTGTGGGGCGACAGCGACGATGAGGGGGTGCTGCCCTCGCCGCTCGACGTCGAAGGCAGCGGCGGTGGCGGCTTGTGCGTCGGCGGCTACGGTGCCAGCGCGTGCCGGGTGCTCATCCACGACGATGACGATGTCATCGTCGACAACGGCGGCGTCGCCGACAACAACGAGGAGGATGACTACGAGGAGTACGAGTACGACGAGGAATTCCGCAACGGCGCCGGCGCCACCTCCTCGCTGCTCTTCCACCATCACCACCACAATAACAACCAGCAGCAGCAGCAGCACCACCAGCCGCAGCAGCAGCAGCAGCGTCAGCCACGGCGCAAAGCGGCAGCCATGATGAGGAAGAGGAGGTCGCTGACGACCACCACCACGATGACGCCACAGAGCGTGGTGGACTACTTCCCCGACGAGGTGGCCGTGGTGGCCGTGCCGGACACGTTCGAGTGCCCGCGCGACTACGCGCTCACGCTACGCCGGTCGCCCGAGGACCTACCCCTCACGCTGGGCCTGGGCCTCGGCCTGGGTCTAGGGCTTAACCACCAGGGGGGCCACGGGCACCACCACCTTCACCACCACCAGGGACTTGCGCCGCACGCGGCCAACGTGGCCCAGGGACCTGGTGGCCTGGCCCAGCAGGGCCAACAGGGCCAGCAGAGCCTCCAGTACCAGCACGGCCCGGTCGGGCAGGCTTTGCCAGGCGGGTTTGGGGAGCAGCACAAAGTCCGCCATTGTTGAGTGTGAGGGCTGTGGTGGTGGTGGTGGCGGATGTAATGATCGTGGCAGTTTCGGGGTGATGGTGGGCGGTGGTTATGGAAGTGGCAGTACTGGTGGAGGCTGCAGGTAGTGGTAGGGTTGCCACCTTTGAGGTATAAAAACCAGAACATATCATAGGATCAAGGATATCTCACGATGCCATAGGAGGGGCAAACTACATGTAAATGGATTGTCTTGCGTGCTGTATTATTACAAAAGCTGGGTCTTTTAAATGTCCTGGGAAGACTTACATATTTCCCAGGACAAGCAACCTCAAACAGAGGATGTCCTGGAAAACCAGGACAGGTGGCAACCCAAGCTTGTGACGGATGTGGAGGGTGTGTGGTGCATGGTTTGCCATCTAGTCTAAAGGCCCGATTTTTAAATAAGGTGTGGAAAAGAGCTTTACCCCTATATAAATATTGCAGGTGGAAACCAGGCGGGAGGACACAGTGAAGGGTCAAGAGTTATATTAATGTAACGGCAAGGAGTGTGAGGTAAGAGGAGGCAGGGTTTCCAAATTTTTGTTTTAACCACACAGGCCTAAACAAAAAAAATGGCTGCTTTTGGGCATTTGGTCAGGTTTGGGTACAGTCCATGAGCCAGGTCCAGATATTTGACTTGTTTGGTACCATAGCCTGCAGTGGCATCGCTTTAGAGGAGGTTCCAATCGCTCGATGTGGTCAAGTAAATTACATGAAATGTGGGATTATTACAAAAAATTCACTCCTATCCGCTGTATACATAAATTGGCATGACTGACGCTTTGATACCATGGGTGGTACCAGTTTGTGCTCTGGCCCATTGACCGAGTGAGTGGCGTTGATCTTTGAGAAAAGAAAACCAGACTCTCCCAAATGGTCCAGAGATGTGGGGGACATTGAATTGTATTGCAAATGGGCCAGAATGATAGAGGTCCAGGTGCGTCCGGCCTAACTAACCCTAGGCAGGTGGCAACTGTGATTGTGTTTGGGCACAATCAACACGCGACGATCCACAGCGATCTGATTTTAACTCCTGCTCGTGATGCCGTATCACCATCATTGTTGCCATCGTCGCTGTTATAACAACCAGCAGCAGACAGTTTGCATTTGAGCCTGGCCTGGGCCTAACCTTGGTTAACTCGATAGGAACATGGATATCTCACCTGGGGTGTGGTTGCAGAAGTTGAAAAAGGTAAAAATATTAAATGTCAAGTTACACCTCCCCACCCCCCCCCCCCCCCTCAACAATTGTGTCAACTCTCTATCAAAAATGTAGGTAAAATTTGCAGTCCCAAATATTACAATGTTCCTTTAGCAAAAATCGAATTAACACACAACACGCACACGTACATACATACATATGCAGTATTGATGTCCTGTGTGTGAGTACATAAACAAAATATACACAAAGCAGAATGTAATCGTACTCTACAGTTTAATGCTAACCCATTAACATAATAACTGGTGTTTTGACTAGTTACCGCTTAGTAACCACACCAAATAACTATTTCGAATTGATTATTTTGCAGGGTGACAACTGAAGTGTTGATGAGACTTTTTATGACCACAGCGATCAACTGAACGTTTGCAATCTGACCCCTGATCTTTCATCAGCACCGAACTAAACGTTTACAAAGTTCACTCGTCGTCGTCGACTGACTCGTTAGCCGCACGCGTAACTCTTTAAAAAGTAGCGGTTGTCCGATCAGCGGGGGAAAGTGTTACTCGTACAAACAAGTAAGTTCTGAAAAAAAAAATGGTCAAGACTCATGTTTTTTTTTTTAAGTGCCGTTAACACTGGAACAAATAGTTCACTTTTGCCCGGCTAATGCATTCATTCGCTCGTGAAGAGCTAAAGCACCCCACACACACTGGGTGGGTGGTGTGGGCCGGGAATGAACATCGGCTGCACTGTGCACGATGAAGCCAGCTGGAAGACGCACCACGGTGGTAGTTTTCTGGTGCTGCTCCCTGCCTTGACAGGTGCTCGCTCACACCACGTGTCTCTGTCAAACGGAGGCTCTTCCCCTTTATCCGATTAGCGCGGTTGGCTATGTACGGCGCGAAAGAAGTTTGACGTACGTTACGTACGCGCAGGGGATGAAGAATCGCGACGTCTCGCTGCTGACTTTTGAGACCCCCCCCCACCGCCTACACATTCCACATGGAGTGACGAACCCCATATCTGCATTTGTCATCAATATGCTAAATTCCTCTGTTGATATGTAAACTCCTTTGTCAAGGCGCTCTCCTCCTCCCACCCAGCTTAAAAGACGCTGCCAAGCTTAGCAGTGTTCATTGGAGCGCTGTCTTTCCGACAGCTCTGTTCCTTCACTTGAGGACGGCTGCTTGCGTTGTGGCCGAAACGTCGTGAGAATTTAATGTAATTATGTTTTATTATTATTTTATTATTTCCGTTCTACGTGACTTTACCAAAAGAACCAAGAATAAGTCTCCATGCTAATTTCCCTTTCTGGCCTCCGAGCCTGCGGTGTTAATTCCACATTCCCAATGCCAAGGCCGAGATTGGGTGTTCACCCAAGGATAATCGTCGTCATCATCATCATTGTTATCATCAGCCATGGTCAAGCCACTGCTGGATGGAGGCCTACCCAAGCCACCTCCATCTCTCACGATCCTGAAATGTAACGGTTCGCCGGGCACCTGAACAGGAGGTGATTTATTTGCTCCATCTCCTCCGTGGGCGGACCATCGCACACGTTGTGTTCCATTGTTGTCACTCCGTCGTGATCATTCGGCTATCATCCCTTCAAGCTGTGACATGTCCTGCCCAAGCCATCTTATCTTTACAGTTTGAATCAGTGGTGGAAATGCCCTGGGACGTCATAGGTTGGGAGTGAACATTTGAACCTCGACTGTGTTCCAGAAGGAATCAAGGATTCATCTTGTTTTATTTGACTCACAGATAGACCACCTAGACTAACAGAGAGACCCACCGACACGCACAGAAACCCACAGACACGAATAGAAACTTACAGACATCACATAAACAGACACACGCAGACGCCCACAGACACGAATAGAGACCCACAGACACGCATAGAGACCCATAGACCCACGGACAGATACCCACAGACATGCACAGACACAGGCACCCACAGAGGCCCACCATGGACCCACAGACATACACAGATGCCCACAGATGCATAGAAGCCCATAGACACGCATAGATGTCCATAGACCCACAGACAGATACCCACAGACACGCACAGACACAGGCACCCACAGAGACATACAGGGACCCACAGACACACACACATACCCACAGATGCATAGAGACGCATAGAGACCCATAGACCCACGGACAGATACCCACAGACCCACGGACAGATACCCACAGACACGCACAGACACAGGCACCCATAGAGACACACAGGGACCCACAGACATACACAGATGCCCACAGATGCATAGAGACCCATAGACACGCATAGAGACCCATAGACACGCATAGAGACCCATAGACCCACGGACAGATACCCACAGACACGCACAGACACAGGCACCCCCAGACACACACAGGGACCCACAGACACACACAGATACCCACAGATGGATAGAGACCCACAGACACAGATAGAGACCAATAGACCCACAGACAGATACCCACAGACACGCACAGACACAGGCATCCACAGACACACACAGGGACCCACAGACATACACAGATGCCCACAGATGCATAGAGACCCATAGGCACGCATAGAGACCCATCCAAGCGTTCCTGTGTCTATGTCTCAACGTGAGTTCAAACATGCACGTCTCCACACTTCTTGGTCCACTTTTAAGTTTTCGTTAACAAAAAAACCACTGACCATGCTTCTGAACTCTTGGTTATAGTAGGCAGAGTG